AGCACTTGCACGGTTAGAAGGTCATAAAATAAAAGTGTGACAGTAGTTTTTGCCTTTAACTTTGAGGAATGTAAAACACGATTCAGTAGAGTATTAGTTCAAAGCCCAAAAAATCTTTTAATCTTACATTTTCCAGAAAAAAAATGATTAATCCCTTACTGAATTTTCCCAGGTATGGAGAAAACAGTTTTGTACAACTCAAAAATAGGCTTCATTTATTTTTTTAAGCACTTATAAAATTGTAAAGTTGTATAGCTAATAGTTATTGGTAAAATTTTAAAGTAATTGTTGGTTGTTTGTCAGTTAATTTTTTAAAGTGAAACTTCGAAGTGGTATGAAAAACTGTATGGTCAGTTTAAATACGATATGCTCTAAAAAAATTATCGTATTAAATGTTAGTTATAATATCAAATATGAGAAAATTTATTTTTGTTAATTTTGACATTTGCCAGCGATAATTGTATTTTGCAGCTAAAACGATTGCAAATATCTTAGTCAGTTTTGCATGAAACTTTTTCTTTTAAACATCATTGGATTTGTCATAAAAACCACAAATTTGTAAGAAAAAATTATTAAGCTTACTGTAAAGCCGAGATGTAAGAAATTGGCGTTTTTTGCAATAACGGACTCATAATGAGACTTTTTATTGCGAGAAAATCTGTGTATTATCTTCATACATATGTGTATTATACTATTACAGTACTTTATAAATTTCATTGAAAAAGGTCTCAAAGAATATCAAGAAAATTGGACTGTCACAGCCGCAGCAGCTAAGCACTTCCATATGTACCCCTCTCTTGCGACTAGGTGACCCACCAGTTACAGTGTGCATGTGTCAAAACGCGGGCTACGGCTAGCATGTAAATTTTAATAAATTGTTTTATATAACTACACAGTTACAAACATTGTATTCAACACTGACGATTTTAAATCAACAAATCAAGTAAAAAAAGTGATTGTTATAAGAAACACACATTCATTGAAATTTGTGTGTACATTATTTTTTTGTTTTTTTGATATCAAAAGTTTGGTTTTTTTTTTTATCATCTACTTTCACAAGAACTATCGTCAGTCATTAAACTTTTGCATTACATTACTAAAGTTTAATAAGTAAGTATGTTTGTTATGAGAAGAAAGTATAATGTTATGTATTGTGAAGTTAATATATTTGCCAAAAATATCAAAACAAACATCTATTGTTTTAAATTTATTTGACACTTACAATGATCTCATTTTTCCGTCTCTAATATCAGATAGAAATTTAAAAAAATGTTTTGTGAATCAAAGGCTTTTTTAGTAATTTTTTGATGTTTAAAATTAAAAATTTGATAGTAAATTTAAAAATAAACTTGAGCTGTAATACAGCATTATATCTTTTAAAATTTTGAAAATAATTTTTTTTTAAACTTTTGCGAATGGCAATTACAACTTGAGGATTAATAAGTTACTTGTGTGCTCTAGATTTTGTACTCTCTTGTCAGGACAAGTAATAAGAGGTGTTACATATGTGCAGGGCATATTTATATGGTGAAGGAGCAAGAAGTAGTAGTAAAATTTAAAGGCCACAAGTATGTGTAACTCGCAAAATAAGCAGAATACTGACAACTACAGCAGTATTAGAAACACATATGGCAATAGGACGGGCAAAGTTAAAAGAACTTAAGATCTACTTACGATCTCAAAGTGTATCCGTAACAGAGCTTAATGATTTACGCACATATACTTACCTACTATTACATCTTTCTATCCAGACCATGAAACAGAAAACAGAAAGACAGAAATAACTGTAGGTAAGTGTACATGTTCCAAATACACTCCTGTGCAGAGTCATCATAAATTTAATTATGGTTTGGATCTGCGAGTGTCAGTAAACTGTTTTATAATACTAAGTGAATCTTTGTATAGTGTCTTAAATTTAACAGTATAAGTTGTTTGATTTATAAAACCTTAAAAGATAAAGAAAAGTTAAATTAGTGTTATTTAAAAAGTTTATTGACACTTCCAGATTAAAACCATCATTTAGTGCACGACTGTGCGCTAGAGTGTCCTTGGGGGATGTACATACGTAACTAATGTATTGATCTTTGAGCTTTGTTACATACTCACTGTTAGTGTGTTAGAAGATCTTAAGTTTTGTCATCTTTGTGCCTTCTGCATCCGCATGTACTTCTAATACTGCTGTAGTTGTTTTTATTCTGACTGACTTGTGCATTACGCATACGTTAGCCTTTAAATTTTACGACCACTTCGTTTTTCGTATAAGTATCCCCTATGCAAATATATAAAACCTCTTATTGCTCATCCTGATAAGAGAGTACAATATGCAGGGCACACAAATAATTTATTAACCCTTAAGATGAAAATGTGGCCTACGTCAGATAAAAAGTTATTAATTTAATTAACACAATTCCTATTCATGTACATTTATGCATGCAATTTTTCTGTTTGATTGGTATTCTTTTTTATCTGTGATTTTAACAGTAGTAATCACTATAGTTAAAACTAGACAAAAAGTGTCTCATACATTGGCTTTGATTATATTTTTGGCTACACACAAAAGGGTAGCTTACTACACTTTTTAAATGGTGCAATTTCATAAATAAATGAGGAGCTTAAAAGGATCTAGTGTGATTACTTATTTTATTTACTTATTTACTTCATGATATTTATTATTTATTTGTCAAGTACTTCAAGAAAGCAAAAGATTCCTTTTATTAATCACAATGTTAAGTGATATATGTAGCGACTGTTCAAAAAAAATTACTCCTAAACAGTGACAAAGAAGAATAACTCAACCTTTTGCCTGCAATAAAGCTTTTCATGGAGATAAATAACTTAATCTCATGAATATCTGAAATAACATCATGAATTGTTAGTCATAATATGTTGATAAAGTACCAACTCCGAGAAAACCAAGACAAACTATTTTTACACGACGTGGATCTATGTTTTTTAAAAGACTGTCATGCATTATTTTAAGGTATAAGAATTCATTATATGTATGAGAAATGCAGTACTCACCGAAAAGAATACCTGCAAGGGTATCATGTTTTTGTGTTTGATGTTACACCAAATCTTTCAGCACACTCTGTGAGTTGTTAAGAATTAGCTGAAATAATGGCTTCTTTACAATTTAAGTACGTTTTGAGTGGTCCTTGAGTTGTTTTACTATAAATTGCTTCATTTACTTGAAGTGTGAAAACACGTTAGAAATAGACTCAAATTGTGAGATAATTGTAGATTTCACTACCTGAGCAAAACTTTTTTTTAATCGACTTTTTTTTTTTTTTTTTTTTTTTTTTTTTTTTTTTTTTTGTTTTTTTTTGTTTGATGGAGTGGGGAGGGGAAAATCTTCATAGACACCCCAGCTAATCCGGTGGTAGTGTCCGATTCACCCGGTGTGCCTACCGACTAAAAACTAACCTCCCCGCATGGGACAGGTCCGTGAGGACCACTCCTCTAGAAGACAAAAGGGCATAAGAGGAGAAAGAAGAAGGAAAAGAACGGAGAATTTTGGAGGCCGACTCGCTCTCGAAGAGATGAGAGGAGGGGGCACTTACGCATCTGGGCGAAGCTCGATTTCGACTCTCTCATGTCTGGACTACCGCCACTATAACTTTTTCCTCCATATTTCCTATGACTTCTTACGTGCTGTTACATGCTTTTTTCTTTCATCCCGTACTTTTCTGATATTGTCTTCGATAATAAGTTTGCTGCATACCATTTAAAATGGCAGATAAGGCTATTTACAAAAAAAAATCAGGAAAAAATTTTATTCCATCGTAGATATTCAAACACTTTTAAGCGACAAAAGTTATAATTTGTCACGAATCGGAATGTTTTGGTAGGTGTTAAGTATTGGTTTATTCTACATTGGGTCATCAAACCACTATAAAACTCGACAGAAGGAACTGCAGGACTGAAAAAATACTTATTTAACAAGTTTATTATTCATGGGTTTCTCTTGTTTGATAGCGAAGCTGTCATCATGCATGTATCGTATAATGCTCTACATGACATAGCAAATGTGCTCTTCATATCTACATTCAAGATAATCGAAAGTAAAATTTACTGGACAAAGTCTTAGAGTTTTAAATAACAACTTTTAAAGATTACTTCTGTTTATTATTTTAATTTTTCCTTCTTGTGATGATCCTTTTGCTGTCATCATGTTTAAAAAAAAACTCTGAGCTGTGCTGTAGATTGTGTTTCTAAGTGATAAACCTTGATAAATGAGACAGTGCATTCTACAGAAGTAATTTGCCCTTACGCTAGGCCAGATAATGCTAAACAGTTAATAATAAAATCTACTGATTGAAACACTCCATGGTTTTCACCCACTGCTTGTAACAGGTTAGCAACTTCTAAAAATGCATCAACTTTCATTAATCTCGCTATAGTTCTAGAAAAAGTTGGGAAGTTCGGAACTCTACAGCTGTCCATGCTAGAATCAAAAACAATATATTTAATTTTAATATAAGTACTCTGGCACATTCTAGTGCCAAGTTTTGTGCTTTTAGTGTCCCGTAATAATACCCGGGCACATTCTACTTCCAAGTTTTGTGCTTTTAGTGTCCCGTAATAAAACTTAAGTTACTTTTGTTGACTGTTTGACAGGATTGTTTTCTAATTATAGATAAGTAATTTTATGTTGTTAAATAACTGGAGGTCATTGACTATCAGATATTTGTATGTCATCCTCAACATAAAAATCATAATTTACAGTCTTGAAATGTTTTACTTTGAATAATTTTCAGCAACCATCCCCTTCATTGACAGCTTGGCTACAGCTTCTTTGATCAAACAGATACCCAGAGCCCCCTCAGCTGTCACTAGTCAATGACGCGAGAAGAGTCTTAAAATTACTGTCCCATACTACTTACAATCTATAGCTTCAGTAACGTAACTTTATACCACTATCAAATATAATTATCTTAAATGTTACTTGTATATGCATAAGCCATAAAGACAAATTTTAAAGATAATTATAAAATACGTACCAAAAGATGTAGAAACATTGGCTACTAATGTCACAATAATGACTGCTATCGCAAAATGCTTGAAATCTGGGTACAGGCCAATCATAGGGTAAGATATAGTTGTAAATAATAGTGGTACTGCAATAAATATTGGAGCTTCAGCCAGCATCTTACAGATAAAATAAACGTCTGCTCGATACATTCCGTTTTTGTGTTCACGCAAGAATATAGGCAACTCAGTGCAGAATACCTAAAAATATATGAATAATTTTTTCTTAGATAATTATTAAATTGTTCTGCATCGGCATAAAAAAAAGCCTTATTTTTTACTTCTTAACAAAGCAAGCTCATGATAGGTTGGAAAAAGATGTTTGCATCCCTTTCTAGTAGTTATGTCTTCCTAAATTAAAACTAAAGATAAGTAAAATAATTTTGAGACTTTATTAGCTTAGTAAAATAATACAACTTTTTTTCGTAACATTAAAAAAAAAAGTTTGATTTGTTTAGGTAGGGTTACTACCATCATGATAAGGTGATACGTTTTTTAAAACAGCTTGTGGAAAGATGTTTTGTTTTTCAACTTTAACAATTTTTGTAAAATGCTGAAGCTTGTACTTTCAAATGTTTTCCTTGTTAAAGTTGACTGTAAATTCATATACTCATTAAAAAATTACAAGAAAAACCACTCAAAACCTGCTTAATTGTGTATTAAGATTTTTTAAAAATCGATAAATTTTTTAAGAAAAGAAAGGTTATCCCTTAAAATTAAAAAAAAAGATTTTATACTGAGAAAGATTTGGTGCTAAAGTTTTTTGTCCCCCTACAGTAGCTTTACCAGATCACGTCTGCTGTCTTGGATTGGGATAGAAATTATCTCAGTCCGATCAGCCTGGGTAGCTGTCAAAGTAGTGTAGTGTTCCAAAGTACAGTTGTACCGTTGCGTATAGTGTGATTTGACGAAGGGTCATGCATATACAGATCTTGTGCAGCTCTTATCTTAACTTGTATCGCTGACGTACTATACTTCGGATGAGCACTAGACCATCGGTAGTACTTTGGCGGAGTTCAACTTTTCTCAGTGATTTCTAGTTAGACTTATGTATGATTTTGTAAGTGACAACTTATAAACATTAAAATTGACGAAGTATTAGGAGTTTTATTAATCATTTATGTGAGAAATATAATATTTAAATCAGCCATCAAGAATCTTGGATGAAATTAGTTATAAACGAACGTATTTATAACTAACGAACAACTGTTCATATGTTTGTTTAAGATTTATTTGTATAAAACTAACATCCAGATTTTATAATATAAAATGTTTTGAAATAGCAAACTGAATTAATGTTTTACCAAAAAATAAAAATTATTGGAATTATTATTTTAAAAAAATAACAAAACTTTTAAATAAATTTTTATTTTTTTTTAGCAATAGTAAGTACCAAGTAATAAAAAGATACGCCAAGCTTGGAAAAATTAATGAAGCGTATTCTAAGATGTGACCATTTGAGTATATATGCAGATTAAAACTAAAACACTCTTTGATATTTTTTTGGTTTAAAATGTAAACACCGCTTTGCGTTTGAAGTTAAATAATATAAAGATTTATAGAACATAAAAGACCATAAGTCAATAATCTATGGCAATTCCAGCCCAGGTAGGCTCGAGTCGCCAGGCGATTTTAGCTCACTCCCTCTCCGTAACAAGCAGCCCCTCTTTTCGGGTGGAGGAGTCCCTGCTGCAGCCAATGGGCGATCAGGAGATGTAGCTTTCTCGCATTCCTTGTGCGTGCGTTACTCAAGGTTGCATGCTCCACCTGCAGCGCTTCTTGAGCTTCAGCGCGCTATTTGAGTTTATGTGCAATGTGCATTAGCGCCTGTAGCGCAGCTTGCGCCAGCTGGTGACGTGCAACGCAGTTTGAGTTTGCGCGCGATACAATGCGCACAAGTCATCTGCAGCGCTGATTTTCGTGCGCTAATGTGCAAAATCGTGTGCAGTTTGTGCACGTGGTAGTTTTATGCATACAAAAATTTTTTTGTGTTAGCAAGCGCGTTGCATGTTAATGTAGAATGTGGAGTGGTAGGGAAATAATTGTTAAACATTTTTTGTTTTATTTTTAAAATCAGTTTATATAAAAAAAATGTACATGATTTACAAAATATGACTCACAAAACACGCTTAATTTATAAAATTCATTTCGTTAAACATCTTTTTCTTGAAATACATAAAAATTTGGCGGAAAAAAGTTTATCAGTATTATTTATATTATGGGCTTTGCTTAACCAACCACGTCATAGCTGGCAATTCATGTAGGCTGTTGCTTTTGTCGTTTAAGGGTTCATATACTGCATAATATGAATCGCTGTCTAGCTTTGATGACTTCAATGTTATAAACCATTGTTTTAATAAATGTGCTCTATGTAGAGCACAAAATAGTTTTTTCTGTTTAAAATCGTTTTTTCCGTGTGAGGCATACTGAAGACGAGACTTTGTCTACAAAGTCTTTGAAAGGACGATGCATTTGGGACAAATCCTCAATTTCAATCGTCAGGATTGAACTTATGAACTTAGCTTTATCACTTCCGTACCTATAGATTTTTTTAGTTTATTGGCAATAGTTATTAAATGATACTTTAAGTTATTTTAAGTAACATCACCCTTAAACCACTAGATTTCGTGAACTTCTACCATCTGATGATTATTATGCTTTTTAATATCCTACGGTAAATCATTGAAATTGCAAAATAGCTTGATTATCCAATGGCCACCGACGTTTTATTGCAAGGAAAACACTGAAAATTATCTTGGTATGAAGCATTTGTCAGCATTATAAAAGCCGTGGATACTAATGATGAAATTCATGATGTTTTTGATGAGTATTTTAAAATTGCGAATATTAAAGTTAAAAACTAAATTTTTTCATGTATTTTTCATTCGGCAAGGCTGTCTTTTTCACTGTTGCTGTTATTACTTGTATCACATGGGTAACGATACAAGGATATGATAAGATACAACCTGTACTTATGATTTTTCTTCATTAGAGCTAGTGACATCAGCCCACCCACAGCGCTACGTAAGATTGCGCAACCTCTCTCTCCATGAGCAAGTATGAGATGCAGCTTTTCTTCTCTTCGAGTGCCTGAGCCGCTCTTGTGATTATAACCGGTCAGTTAAATAGCTTAAAAGCACAACTTTACTTTTAAAAATTATTTTTATGACTTATTCTTGAATTAAAATCTACATATTCTAACAGTTCTTTATTATTATTGGCAAAAAACTTTTGAGTTAGGAAAAACTACTTTATACATTGAACTTAACACGTTTTTTCGATTTAATTAAACATGTATCTTATCCCTTACTGTAGAAACATTTCTGATAGCACATGAAAAGTTAATGTTAAAGGCATGGTATTTGCATGGCAAATAGGCTTCGTTGTGTTTTGCAAGTGCTAGGCAGCCATATCCTCCATATTCACATTTCTAAAAGTGTAGAAAACATAAATGACTTTCATCCTTATTATATTTTAACGTATGTGTGCCTATGTACGTACTTGCATGATAGTATTTCTTCAAGGTATTTTCTTGGTTTAAGACCCTTGACAAATACTGTTTCCGCGTCAACCAGTTCAGTTTTAAATATATTAAGAGCTTTCTTATAAGAAATGTTTCCGACATTCTAGCTTATACCACAGAAATTGGTTGTCAACCATACATTTTGCTTTTGGTTCGCATGTGATAAATTTTCCCACTCGTAAGGTGGCTTAATCACTATTAGTATTACAACTGCTATGAAATCCCTATTTTTCCCAAGTTTTACATAAGCAATTTCTTTGAAAATAAATTTATTTGCGCTCTTAAAACCCTGAATAGTTACAATATACTCTATCATAAAGAGGAGAAATATGTGATCTTTAGCTGAAGGTATGCTAACAAACAAATCCCACGGTCAAGCGCAGTATACTAAATACCCAACTAATTTACCCCCATCCCTTTACATCCTTCCTCAGTATCCAAACTACGTTCCAAAAAATTTTGTAATATAATAAGATTAGAGCTGCTCAAACAGCTCATTTTTACGCAACCTATGAGTAAGTAAACCTGCAGTTTTTACTTAGCTATGGCTACTGCTACTGCATAATATTTTAAAGATGTGGCTCACCAGCTATAAAAAACATATCAGCAAACTATAAATAGGTATGATGCTGCTCATATCTAAATTTAATTAGATAGCAGTCTTACAGTTCTTACGAAAAGTAATTTTTTTAGTGAAAAAAAAAGACTTAACAACTTCTTAATTGCAAAAATTTTAATCAGTGGTAGCCTTACGAAGAACTTACTAAGAAGTCTCGAAGATGTGCTTTAAAATAATAGTGCTTTCGAAAGACAAATCATGACAATATTGATTGTTAACTTAAAATATTTAGGTTTAAGAAATTTTTTTTAAAACACAAAGAAGCAGTTTTCTAACTGAATACAGCAGTTTCTTAGCAAACATGAAGCACTAAAAGTTACCACAGTGTTGTCATCTGAGTATGTTATAGTAAAAGATAACATTGAGAGTACCCATTTGAAATTCTTTAACACAAAATCACAATCAGTTTATCAAACAACTGATTTAGACGAGTGGTTTGATAAGAATATGCAACAACTGATTGAGCAAAGTATGGATAACTTTAAAGACACCGGTTCTGGATGGTTTTTACGTTTAATATTAAATTGAGTCATCAATATCAATAAATTAAATCCTATGCGAGGTAGTTTATTTATGGGATGACCAGACTACATTAAAAAAAAGTCTTGTGTAAGTATTGTTAACATGGGCAATCGATGCTTTAAATGGGCTATTTTATCAGTATTGCATCCACTCAATAAAAATGCCAATCGTGTCTAAAACTATAGACGATACGAAAACGAGTTGAATTCTAATGATGTACCCCGGTTACCCCAAAAAAAAATTTCTAAATTTGAAAAACAAAATAACGTTTTGGTTAATTTATATTTTTTTTAAAAGAAAGGTAGTACTTATAATGGTTGTCCTGGTCATTTATCAGGAAACAAAGAAAAATCATGTTTACGTTTTCATTGTTAAAAGTTTTAATATTAATCATGAAGAGGATGATAACAAAATCAATTTGAGTACGATTCAAAGACTGAGCACACATATCATTATGTTTGGATTAAAAATTTATCACATTTAATAAGCAAACAGTTGTCTGAACATTAGCATGCCGGAAATAAATGTGACCGTTGC